GATTTTCCATCTCAGAGATGAAGGAGGGGCTATAGACAGGAAAACACAACAGCAAACTGTATGAGTAATTCCTTCATCCAGCCCTTACACTGTGTGGATACTTCCCAAGTACTGACTCATTTAATCTCCACCACCTCCTTGGGTGGTAAGGACAATGATCACTGCTGTTTGGCATTGGAAAAAAAAATGACAAAGAAGTCAGGTAACTCGCCCAAGGTCCTGAGTTGGGATTGGCAGATTCAAATCCCTGGGGAATCTGACTTCAAGGCCCTGTTCCTCAGCATTCCACATTCCACCTTTTAACTCACCCCCAAACCCTGACTACTCTACAAAGGCCCTTCAGGCAGAAGGCATAGCAATTGTGGGGAAATCTTATGTCGTTTCCAATAATAGTGAGTAAAAGAGAATTTGGTGAGGCTTAAGAATCTATCTTGACTGATGAGTGGATGGGAGAAGAAGAGAAGGGGTGAGAGGCAGGAGAGATAGCTCTTTGTTTAAACACTATGCAGACAAAAGGGTCTCTGTGTTCATTTTCTGTCTGGTGTGTATGTGTGTGTGTGTGTGTGTGTGTGTGTGTGTGTGCGGCGCGCGTGCGTGCGTGCACGTGTGTGTGTTTTAAATATGAAATCTGAGTGCAATAAAAGTATTTTTAATTTAAAAAGAGGCATGCAAAAAGGTATGATATTATATAAACTAGGGGGCTGGAGCGATAGCACAGCGGGTAGGGCGTTCGCCTTACAAGCGGCCAACATGGCCCAGCCGAGTTCGATTCCTCCGCCCCTCTCGGAGAGCCCGGCAAGCTACCGAGAGTATCTCGCCCGCACGGCAGAGCCTGGCAAGCTCCCCGTGATGTATTCGATATGCCAGACACAGTAACAACAAAGTCTCCAGTGGAGACGTTACTGGGCCCGCTCGAGCAAATCGAACATCAATGGGAGGGCCTTTACCTTACCTTTACCTATAGAGCTGATAGTTACTTATTTGTATAGATCTCCAAACAGTTCCTATTTGAATCCATGAATTAACTTCAACCTCATGTATTTTGATAAACACAAGACTTTTTTTTTGGTTTGTTTCCCACCTTTCTCCTCCTGCCCATTATACAAAAGATAATGCCGTTATCCTAGTTCAAATGTTTAAGACTTCTGCCAGTATGCTTTCATAAATTCCTAATTAATTTTCTTATAGCACAGTGGGTAGGGCATTTGCCTTGCACTCGGCCAACCGGGCCGACCCGAGTTCGATTCCTCCACCATTCTCAGAGAGCCTGGCAAGCTACCAAATGTATCTTTCCCGCACGGCAAAGTCTGGCAAGCTCCCCGTGACTTATTCGATATGCCAAACACAGTAACAAGTCTCACAATGTTATTGGGCCCGCTCAAGTAAATTGATGAACAATGAGAGAACAGTGACAGTGACCTTGTCTATAAAACCAGTCCCCCAATTCTGTAGCCAAAAACAACTTCTTTTTAAATTTTTTTTTTACTTTTCCTTTCTTTCTTTTTATTTATCTTTTTTTTTTTATTAGTGAAACGCCATGAGGTACAGTTGTAGACTTACAAACTTTTGTGCTTGGGTTTCAGTTATACAGTGATGAGTACCCATCCCTCCACTAGTGCCCATTCTTCACCCCATTGATCCCAGTAGCCCTCCCACCCCCCCATATCCCCCACCCTGCTCCGCTTTTGTGGCAGGGCATTACCTTTTGCTCTCTCTTTCCTTTAGGGTGTTAACACAAGACTTTTAATAATTAATATCTTAGGACTCATATTCCACTACTCTTTAGATTTCTGCATACTTAAATATTTGCCACTATGAAAGTATGAAGATAAAGATATTACCTTTAAAAAAACCATTTAAATAGTATTTTTTGACAACTTGACTCAAAAATTGAAAGAATCAAGTATACTCTCCACAGCCACCAGATGGCATAAAGTGTGAGAGGTTCATTCTGACAAGGCCACCATACACATGACAATCTGACCTATGACTTCAAAACAATGTATTTAGAAGAATGTTCAGCACTCACAACTCACAATTATCTCAGCCATATGTATAAATTGATAGATAAGTTGAAAGTGACAGGTGCCTACTTTTTCTAAATTTTGGGAGCTGGGACACTAACATTGTGTAATGAACCAGAGATCAAACAAATAAAGCCATTCTGTTAAAGGAAATAAAAGAGGAAGTCATGTCAAAGCACTATTAACCTTATATTCTAAGTAAATTTCTCTAACTCCAAACGAAACTTGAAACATCCTTCAAAAAAAAAAAAAAAGCAAAAACCCAAACATGCACATGACTCCTACAAATTATGCTTAATGAAAACTTTTTCTACTGCCAATTGTTTGTTATGAAATCAGAAAGTAGACAAGGCAACAATATTTCTTCACATTGGCTTTGAGGTGAACTGTTGCTGAAGAAAAAAAAGGAAGAATCTCCAACTGGAAGACCTAACCTGAATGACGATGTTAGCATACAAATCAAATTTAAGAACTTCACTTTCTGTACACACTTACAATGAGGCAGACTGCTTTTTAGTAATCCTGTGTTTACATCTAGATGAGAGAGCACATAGCTAACAGGTTAAAAAAAAGAGAGAGAGATTTAAAAATTTCCCTCACTTTGTGAAATCCTTCCATTTATCCGGTCAGGAGGCAACAAAACAATGAAAGAAGTATGCTGGAAGAAAGATGACCTGTGGCCATCTTGAGCCCAGTCACAATCTTTGCTCTCACACAATTAGGTAGCAAAAAATGCCCTTTAGGATTCAAGAGACCAAAAATGAGGTCGAGCGGGGGGCTTTGGAGCAATAGCACAGTGGGTAGGGCGTTTACCATGCATGCGGCTGACCCAAGTTCAATTCCCAGCATCCCATATGGTCCCCTGAGCATCATCAAGAGTAATTCCTGAGTGCAGAGCCAGGAGTAGCCCTTGTGCATTGCTAGGTGTGACCCAAAAAGCAAAAAAAAAAAAAATGAGATCGAGGTCCTTTCCTGAATGTGGTCTATGTAGAGTCAGGGATTTCTAAGGACATTGTATTCATTTGTTTTGTTTTACCATATAATTCTTGGGTTGAATACACAGGAGTGAGAAAATCTGTGGAAAAGGAAAAGACCTTTGGAACAAAGAAAGATGGAATGATGGCAGGCAATTCATGACAAAAGTTGTCTGTTGATGACTTTGATTTAAGTCGTCTCAAATTTGACAGAGACCATGGGTGTGAGTTTCAAAGGAAAAGGCGAAGGCATACAGGACGCGAGCATTCAATGGCCGAGAGCCACCTCCCCAGGTGGTCCACGGCAGTGGACAGTCGGATGAAGGACTGGGGGAACTGCGAAACAGGGACGCGGGCTGGTCGGCTGTCAGTTTATTTCTGTCTCTTTCCTGGCTTCATTCGATCTCTCCCCTTATGGTACAATCATAGTTGTAGTTTTGGTCATAATCCCACTCATCATAGTTCCATCATCCTAGTCTCCTCATAGACCTCAAAGTCTTCTTCCTCGTTACATTTTCTTCCTCATCTCATCATAGACACAGTCCTCTACTTCCAGTCATCTAGTACTCCTTCTAGTCCTCAAAGTCCCAAAATCTCAGTTCTCATCCTTCTAGTCATCGACTTTCCAGTCCCCTCTTATCCCTTACAGCATAGCTATATAGAAATCATGAAGGGTGGTGATACACAAAGGTGGGGTTGAACATTATCATAAAAACAAATAGCGGTAAAGCCACTCCTATTAACTCAAGGACAAAATCTCATCTGAGGGTTCAGCACTCCAGATTACTGGGAAATCCGCTCAAGGATGGGATTTCATCCAGGTCAAGAAGTACCTAGGTCGTATTGCTTTCCTCATTCCTCAGCTAGTAATCCACTTAAACCATAATCGTAAATTTACTTATAATATTTCTAGTCATCTTGTATGAACACAGTAAGAGATATATTAAACTTAAAGGTTGGGTCTTCCTGGGCACATCTTGCTATATATTCCAGACCACAGCCCTCAGGCCAGGTTATTGGAAATAACAATGTATGCAGGGTTCTAACCCCAGCAGGGTCCTTATTCAGTTACTTCTTTTGGGGTCATAACAGAGTTTGTCCATGACCATGCTCTTAACTTATTATACTTATGGCGCTTATAGCTTGTCTCCTTTCAATGCCAGGGTAGCTTAAGCTTGCCCTGGGTCCATCTAGCCCCTTCATTGGGACCCTGCTTTTGTAGTGCTAGGAACTAAGGGTAACTGAAGCTTAAGTAAATATAATGGATGACCAGGAGTAGATATTATTTGAAATCGATTAACTCCCATGCTACAAAGTCATAGCATCAACTGTCTTCCTGTGTCTATAAAAGGACATTGCTAAACAAGCCATGCAAATGACATAAAAGAGAAAAGCAATATAGGATTATTAGTGCCTGATGGTACTGGGTGTGCCTCAGGGGCACTGTTGTAGGAGTAGCTCAATAAACCTGCGGGAGGAGCAAGGACGACCTAATGTTATCCAACACATGGGGATAGGAATAAGAAAGGTGTTGGGGACAGTGTGCTGAGATTCGTTTGTGGAAACTTGTGCTCTGGTGGCATCTTAGTTATCTAAAATGTAGCAAACATTGGTCCCACCTAGGTCCAAAGGAAAGGAAATACTGTGACTTCTTATTCCTATTAGTACTTGTAGACAAGTGCACACATTGTTATTTCCAAAGGTTGGTGGGGTTTATTGTTTATTTTACATAGTAAAAGGAATTCAGTTGCATAGTAGAAAATAGGGTGCTGAATATTTCAAGCAAGAAGGGTAATATATTTTATTTTATTTGGGGACCAAATCCAGTGGTGCTCAGGGCTTACTCCCAGCTTTGTGCTTAGGGATCACTCCTGGCAGAGCTCAGGGAACCATAAGTGATGGTCAAGATCAAACCTGTCTGGGAGTCATGCAAGGCAAGCATCCTACCCATTGTAGTATAACTCCAGTACCAGAATAATATATTTTAGACACTTAATATTACTTACTTCAAATTCCACTCATCAGGATGTTCTTGTTCTGCTGCCTTCCACTTGTAATACATTCCAATAAAATTCGGATCCTCAAGCACTGAAATGAGAGTATTCTTAAAGGATATATATGTATATATATATATGATTTTTAATAGTTCAAAGCTGAAAATAATTTACTTCTTATTAAGTTGATAAATAACAATACCGTACACCATTTAGGTCAAGCTGTAGTTTCGAGACCATTTAGTTTTAAGTCATTGGGAAAAAATGCACAATTTTGCTTGCTTGCTTGCTCTTTCGCTCACTTCCTTGCTTACTTGCTTGCATTTGGGGCTTCACCCGGTTGTACTTGGGACTTATTCTTGGTTCTGTGTTCACCGATCACTCCTGGATAGCTCCAGAGTACCAGTGACAGAATCCGGTCAGCCAAGTTCAAGTGCCTTACCTGCTTTATTATTTCTCTGGTTCCCCCTTTATTTGAATTTTTAAACATTAGCTACTGATTGAAATTAAGATCATGACTGAACATTTTTTTTTTTAATTTATTTATTGAATCACCGTGGGAAAGGTTACAAAGCTTTCAGGTTTAGGTCTCAGTCATGCAAATATCAAACACATTTCCCTTTACCAATACTTTTTTTTTTTTACCATGAAGAACCCCAATAAAACCCCACCCCCCACCCCTCCCAGTCCCTGTGGGGCAGATGAATTCTAGTTAACACTCTATCTGCTTTGATTAGATTCATTGTTTCAACAAAAGATTCACCACTATTATTTAGTTTACCCTCCCCCCCCCAAATCAGACAAGCTGAAAAAGCATTGTGACGTGATTTGCTTTCTACAGCTGGGTTCAAGAATTAAATGTTGGTTTTGGATTTCTGCTATTTTACTTATTGACCCTGGAAGTATTTCTACTGAAAGTCAGATAGTTAAGAAATTGGTTTCTGTGCTCTGGAGTCGTGGCCGTGCTGGAGAGCCGCTCGTGGGGGGCAACTGGTGACCTCGGTAGGGCGTGAGGGACGGACCGGAACGCCCCCCTTCCCATGAGGTTTTAATCACCCCCACACCCCTGGCTCATATCTGATGTCCACAAGGCTCCCATGTGGCCGCCATCTTTAAAAATATGGAACGCTTCACGAATTTGCGTGTCATCCTTGCGCAGGGGCCATGCTAATCTTCTCTGTATCGTTCCAATTTTAGTATATGTGCTGCCGAAGCGAGCACTGAACATTTTTATTATAAGAATATTTATATATCATTGATATTAATGAAAATGTATCAAAAGGACGCATCTAGAAATGACAGACAACAAAGTTTAGAAAAATTCTACTTTAGCACTTAGAGAGGCAAAATAAAATACTGGAGTATTTCTCTAAAGAAATTTCCAGACATCTTCTCTGTTGCCAAGAACCAGCCAGATGGTGAGGTTGCAACATTCTTCCTTCATGTGCTGCTAAGCTTCCCCTGGCCTGAAGCAACACTGTGAAAGTCCATCCCTCCTCTCCTCCCCGCGGCCCCCCAAACAGGAGAAAGAAGTCCTGTAACATTTCCAGATTGCCAGCAGAACCACCGCCCTTCCTTCCATTTTTCCTTTATGTAGGATTTGCGGCAGATCTCACCACCATCCTGTTGGCAGTGAGCTTTCTTGATTGTCCCCATGCAAGTTTGCATCCAGAACCGGTTCTGTATCTTATTTCCTAGGAATGGCAAAGCTATGGGGATTATTACCTTCCCTGAACTGTGTGTTACATTTCTTTATTTCAGCTAAGAGTTGCATGAATATTTTTCTGAAAATGACATCACACGCCTGGTTCATATGTTCATGGTTAACTATAAGCTTTATGCCTTATGTCAAATTCAGATAAAATTTATTGAAAACCTATTATGCTGAAGAGTGGTAGTTACTATATTTTTTATGAAATACTATTAAGCTATATCATAAACACACACATACTCTTTGGGTTTTTGTTGCTGTTGTTTTTGTTTTGAAGACCATACCTGGATGTGCTCAGGGCATACACCCAGCTTTGGGCCGGGGATCGAACCCATGGCAGCTGCATGCAAAGCAAGCACCCTAGCCACTGTACTATCTCTCGGATCCCCAAACATTCCATCTCATGGTCTATTCAATGCCTCCTTACCCCTCATTATCATCCTGGGTTGACAGTCTGGAACAATTTAACCAACTAGATACTCTTCACCAGTCTAATTCTTGTCTGGAGTTTCCTTTGGGGAAGGACCATCTGATGGTGCAGGTAGGGCGTTTGCCTAGCACATGGCCAACCCGGGTTTGATTCCCAGCATCCCATATGGTCCCCTGAGCACCGCCAGGAGTAATTCCTGAGTGCAGAACCAGGAGTGGCCCCTGTGCATCGCTGGGTGTGACCCCCCAAATTTTAAAAAAAATAAATAAATATTACCATACAAGAAAAAAAAAAGAAACTTGCTCCAGGTCCCACAGCTAGTAACTGGCAGAGTCAGAATTAAACTTTAGCAATCCAGCGCCAGAATTTATACTATTTGCCTGCGTATGGCACTACCATATATCTATATGTCCACAGGGAAATTACTGGGCTTATTTGGTCATAGTTTTCTCACCTGTTAAAATGAGTAGTAATAAAGCTCAGCTTATCAGGTTAATACAGCACTATACATGCATGGCACATACTAGGTGTTTGATAAGTGCTTATTGATAAACTTTTATTTTTTATTTTTTAATTTTTATTTATTTATTTGCTTTTTGGGTCACACCTGGCGATGCTCAGGGATTACTCCTGGCTCAGCACTCAGCAATTACTCCTGGCAGTGCTCAGGGGACCATATGGAATGCTGGGATTTGAACCCGGGTTGGCTGCATGCAAGGCAAATGCCCTACCTGCTGCGCTATTGCTCCAGCCCAGATAAATTTTTAAATGGTGGTATTGTAGTGATTCAAAAATATAATACAGAGGATGCTCTGTAAGTTGCATTGTACAACAGTAAATTACGCCATCCATGATTACATATAAATTTGTGACACAAAATATGCAAACAAATTTATGCTCTAAATCAGAATACAACCACTCATCACCATTAGTGTAAATAAAAGCTTTTGGGGCTGATGTGATAATACAGCAGGTAGGACATTTGCCTTGCATGTGGCCAACCTGAGTTTGATCCCCAGCACCCTATATGGTTCCCTGAACCAGCCAGGAGTGATTCTTGAATGCAGAATAAATCCTGAGAACCACAAAGTATGGTCCAAAAAGAAAAAAAAAAGAAAATCTTTGAAAAATATGCAGCAGAATTTAACCATCTATGCAGTGATAAATGTTGAAATCAAGACACTTACAAGTTTCCCTTTAATACTTGAGCAGTAGAAGAAGTATTCCCGAATTTGAAAGCATCTTTTTCATGGTACCAGAAATGAGGCGATTAAAAAAACATTGGATCTCATCCAATTAAACTCTCCAGTGTCAAAATGGCCAGCAGCACATATAATTTCTTTTAATTATATGCTAGTTATGATCGGAAAGAAAAAGGTCTTCAAATAGTTGTACAACAAATCCCTGGGGCAGAAGAGGCAGCTGATTATAAAGTCTTGCACCAAGGACTAGAATCAAAGTCTCAGAACTTCTCCACTGCTGGATGACTACCAGCTCACTGCTTTCACAGAAAGGGATGAATCACATTCAAGGTCAGTGGCAGAGGCAGACACAACAACTAGATGAAACATTTTCATGTATGATTTAGGTAAGTCCTTGCAATAATGGTGCAGTAATCCACTAACTAGGAGAGGCAATGAAAGAGAAAGGATAGGTTTGGGAGAATTCCTTTTGGGACTCTGTGTGCGTGCGTGTGTGTGTGTGTGTGTGTGTGCGCGTGTGTGCGCGCCCGCGCGCATGCCATACCTGGATGTGGTCAGGGCTTATTTCTTCTTTTTTTGTTTTTGCTCTCAATTTTTATTTTTGCTCGAGCGGGCCCAGTAACGTCTCCATTGGAGACTTTGTTGTTACTGTGTCTGGCATATCGAATACTCTCGGTAGCTTGCTGGGCTCTCCGAGAGGGGCGGAGGAATCGAACACGGGTCGGCCATGTTGGCCGCGTGTAAGGCGAACGCCCTACCCGCTGTGCTATCGCTCCAGTCCATTTTTATTTTTAAATATGAGAATTTAAGACTATAAAAGATTTTGCTTTCCTTTTTTTTGCCATTGAAATTTTATTTTATTTTTTATTTTTTATTAGTGAGACACCATGAGGTACAATTGTAGACTTACAAATTTTTGTGCTTGGGTTTCAATTATAGAATGATCAAATATCCATCCCTCCACCAGTGCCCATTTCCCACCACCACGGATCCCAGTATCCCTCCCACCCCCCATTCCCCCCATCTCACCTTGCCTCTGTGGCAGGGTATTGGTCAGGGCTTATTTCTGGCTTTATGTTCAGGGATCAGGATAACTCCTGGCAGTATCAGAGGACCATATGGGGTGCCAGGGATTGAACCTAGATCAGTTGCGTGCAAGGCAAGTGCTTTACTTGCTGTACTCAATCACCTGTCCCCCTTTAGGACATCTTAAGTTTTGAGATGCCTGTAGCACCTGTAGGTGAGATTCCTAATGCACTGCTGTGAACTTGCATGTGGAGTGAACAAAGAGGATCTGGTTAGAGATGAGGAATTAGGAATCGCTGGCAGGAAGGCTAATAACCAAAGCTGGATTAATGTCTCTTAGAGAATCGGTGAAGAGAACTGAATGGAGTTCTAAAGGAAGAGGCCCAGGAATGTGTAGAAAGGAGGGTGGGAATCATGATGTTGTTAGCATGGAACTCAAGAACACAATTTCTATGAGACCAAGTGACACACAGTCTGTCACTGGTGACTTCATCAGGCTCGCTAAGGCCAAGTCACATTTCAGTGAATATCTGCAGATGGGACGATTACTTTGGTCCAGATCATCAAACAGTACTTTAGAGATTTCATTAAGTAGGACCAGAAAGTGGTCCAGCTCTCCCAGTCTGTCTTTTTGATTCCTGATATATGATGGTGATAGTTGGTTCCCACCCCCTCCACCCACCCAGGTAAGCAGAAGTCCCAGATTCCCAGGTTTCTTGAACATTTTAATATTCAGTACTTTCTCTGACTTTGAGGATTGTGATTGGAATCTAAAAGGTCCCTTCCACTATGAAAGTTTCTTTCTGGGATGAGGAAGTAAAGTAAACATCCTTAAATCTGATAATTCCGTCTTCTATTCCTCCTGACTTTTTTCCCCCTTCTCATCAGATTTCAACCCAGGACTCCACGCAAAAGAGAATCTAAATGAAGAGCTGTCGAATGATCAGTATATAGAGCCAGTGGAGAAGTTTTGTGTAGGTTGACCTTTGAAAGGAAGACAAGCTGAAAAAAATCGTGAAGACACTATGGCAAAAATAACATTCATAGAACAAGTTAGATCAACTTACATGGGGTTCTGTGACAGTCATTCACTTTGGATGTGGCTATTGTACACCATGTCTTGTAGTAATCACTAAATGAGATTCGTTTAGTTAATCTGAAAATAGAAATTTAAATCAGACAATGAGTAGTTCGCAAGGTTGATTTTTAAAATTCTTACAAACTGATGAAATTCCAGGCACACCAGCTTTAGAGCTGAAAACTCTGGGGTCTACTGGGAGTGGGGGATGGGTAGCCTCCCCCACCCCCGCACTTCAGAAGCTCTGGCAGTCACCATCGGTTCAGTTCTACAGATCATAGAATACCTGGAGTTATGGCCATATACAGCCCAGTGTGAGCACATGTAATTAGACAGGCAAGTAGCAGAGAAGTCAACTAAATTCAGAAAACAGAAAACAATAACACAGAAGACTCAACAAGGAACAAACGCTTAGCAAACCCTCAGACAAGGTTTGAATGACCCCAGGGTAAGATATAACAATTTTTACAAATTTTCTCTTACTGAACTATTATTTTTTTTTTTATAACGGGTAGAGCATTTGCCTTGCACACGGCCAACCCGAATTCGATTCCTCCGCCCCTCTCAGAGAATTGGCAAGCTACCAAGAGTATCTTGCCCCCACAGCAAAGCCTGGCAAGCTTTCCATGACATATTCGATATGCCAAACACAGTAACAATTCTCACAATGTTACTGGGCCCATTCGAGCAAGTCGATGAACAACGGGAGGACAGTGACAGTGACAGTGATAATTCCATTTACCATTTTGTTGTAACAAGTAATATAAAATAAATTTTGTGATGTTAATGGGGCAGGCTTGAGGGGTGAGTGGGAAACTGGGGACAATTGTGGAGGGAAGGTCACACTGATGGTGAGATTGGTGTTGGAACATTGAATGGCCCTACCAACTGTATTATGAACAACTTTGTAAGCTACAGTGCTTAAATAAAGTGGAAAAAAAGGATATACTGGAAATTTTTTAAATCTACTAAAAAAAGGAAAATTCTCTTTTATCAGAGTGGACTGTCTCATAAAGCATTATCTAAGAGACTAGATGTATACATTCTAACATTTATAATTTGGGGATGTACACCCAGCAGTGCTCAGGGATTATTCTTGGCTCTGAGCTCAGGGATCACTCAGGGGAGCATACTGGGAGCTGGGGATTGAATCTGGGTCTGCTGCAGCCCTACCCACTCCAGTCCCTATAATATTCTAACATATTAATTTGCAGTCATGCATATACTGTAAATGAAGAAACATAGATTAAAGGTATTTGCATTTCATTTTAACATTAAAACTCAAGTTTAAATTAAGGAATTATGTATCTAAATTTTGTTTTTAGAGTAAAAAGTAATTTTTTCTAATTTCTATGCCAAATTAAGATATACTTTAAGTGGAGACACCTAATGCCAGAATTGAGATTTATTTGATTTTTGCATAGAATCTAGTCATTTTCCAAGAGAAAAATAAACAATTCATTTCTTATATCCCTGCTTCCACTTCTTCAAGCGCTAATATTACTGTTTACATGTGCTAATATTACTGTGTCCAAATGTGAGAGCAAAGATTGTTATAAAAGAACAAACAGAAACTATGAACCAGACTCCTAAGTCAATGCAGTCCCAAATCTTTCCCTACAAACATCGAATACAGAGACTCCCAGTATTTTATAAACAAATCATGATTTGGGGAATCTTTTTTCAGTCAAGTGAAATCACCAATGAAATGGCTTAAACGAGATAAACATCAACCAGGAAAGATTTGGTCTGCTTTCCAGTTCAAATTCCTAGTTCTTCAAAGGAAGAAGCAACTTTGCAGTTAGCAAAAGCAGCAATTTTTTTTTTGTAAATAAATTGCAGACAACAGAGTGTGTTTGCCTCAAGTTTGAAATGAATGGGGAAGTATCTAAATGAGTCTATGCATAGACAACAACTATGATAACTGTGGGCACCCAATTTTAAAACTAACATTTTTCCAGTGTGTTATTGCCTGTGCAATCATACTTCAGCAGAAACCCAAAATTCAGGGAAGATAAATTAATCATGATGATTATTGTTTCCAGAGCTTTGGGCAGCACTTTCTACAAGCAAATGATATACTAAACTAATACTAATTTCCCAATGAAATGTCTCGGCATTTGGCTAGGTGGTTGAAAAAAAAAAGATGAAGAAGGAAAAAGAAAGGCTGTATTATACCTCCTGCAAGAAAAAGCTTGTGATCAGTTTGCTGTCACAGACCATTTAGCAGACAACAATGACACAAGAGGAAGAAACCTGTCAACACACTGTCTCGTGGGGGGCTGGGGGGGGAGAAAAAGTACACCATCATCAGACACAATCGCCTCCATTGTTTCTTGTCTGTTTGCTGATGACCCTTGACCCATTCCCTTCCCATCCGTGTCCTGTTCAATTTCAAACTGTTAGCCTTCCGGGGTTTTCTTTTTATTTTCTCCTGGAGTCATAAAAAAAAGTAGTATCCTAAAAAAAGTATAATTTTTGCAGAGCTTGCGGATAGAAAGCTGAGGACTTGTAGGAAATATTTGTGTTTTCAGTTCAATAAAGGCAACTTCCCCTTAGCAATAACAGAACACAAGTCCAACTGTTAGATTAACTACCTGGTATATAGGAATAGATATAAGTAAGTAAATAATATGTATATATCGTATTAAAATACATGTGTGTGTAGTTTCAACCAATAACAGAAATTTATTGAGTATTATCATTGGCCTTATGGTTATAGAAAAAGTAAAGGGCATTATTTTCAACCAAGCAGCAGTTTATTATTCTCTTGAGAAAATAATGTATATATAAACACGTTATATATTTGAGTTAGAAAATAGAATCGCTTTATATTTCAAGAAAGGAGCACATCATTTTTTTTTTTGCTTTTTGGGTCACACCCAGCGATGCTCAGGGGTTACTCCTGGCTCATGCACTCAGGAATTGCTTCTGGCGGTGCTCGGGGGACCATATGGGATGCTGGGAATCGAACCTGTGTCGGGCATGTTGGCTGTGTGCAAGGCAAACGCCCTACCCGCTGTGCTATCGCTCCAGCCCCAGGAGCACATCATTTAACAGAGACATTTGGAGCCTACCATGACAGTGGCTTCTTGGTCAGTGGTAGGGAACAACAACAACAAGAACAAAAATAGGAGGAAAAGTGCTTCAGGAAGGGACATCAGGGAAAGAGTCACTTGGGCCATGAACCTGGAACCAGGCAAGAGGCCTTTCTAGACAGGGTAAACATTGATATTGGGCAGAAGAAGGTCAGAGCTGGGCCTGTGTCCACACTGAGGTCAGGGAAGGGGTGATGGCAGGATGGTCAAGGATGAGAGGAGAGGGGTCCAATCCCAGACAATTTAGTCCCATCAAAGCTGTGCAAATGGCAATGTGGGGTCTTCAGATCTGGGCAGAGAAAGGGTGTGAGGGAGTTGGTGCACTTGATTTATTGGGTGACGGAGAGCAGTGAGAGAATCTCAAATCAGACAAGTAAATGGCTGGAGCCCTAGCACAGCGGGTAGGGCGTTTTTCTTGCATGTGGCTGACCTGGGTTCAATTCCTCCACCCCTCTCAGAGAACCCAGCAAGCAACCGAGAGTATCCCACCCACACGACAGAGCCTGGCAAGTGACCTGTGGCATATTCGATATGCCAAAGACAGTAATAACAAGTCTCACAATGGAGATGTTACTGGTGCCCGCTTGAGCAAATCAATGAACAACGGGAGGACAGTGCTACAGTGCTACTCGAGAAGGCGATTTCTAGGACAGATTACATGCAGGATGGGTGGGTGGCTGGGGCAGGGGTCCAGTTAGGGGATAGAAGCAGTTGTTCTGGCCAGAGGTATGGGGAGTTGATGATAAGGTGGGAGACAAGCTATGAGGGGCAGGAAATGAACCCAAGACAATATTAAATAATTGGCTGGACTAGTTGCCTGACAGGGTAGGAAAGGTGAAGGAATTTGCGGGTCAAATATTCTTGCAAAGCTCCGCAAGACCAGTTAGCTTCGCTATTAATAGAAAGCATGTAGAGAAACTGAAGTAAAATACGAGTTTAATTTTAAACCCTGGTTTTAGGGGCTGACCCTGGAAGAGTGATTGAGAATTTGGGACCGGAAATGTGAGATTTGAGTCCAAGCAATATAAAGGCTGATAGATGACACCAGGAGAGGAAAATAACAAAACTCTGGGAGAATAAGCGTGTGTTCAGAAAAAAAAAAGCAGATGTGTGTGGAATAGCAAGATATTTCAACCTGCGGCATCATGACCAAGAGGAGCACAGGCTCTGATGTCCATCAGTGAGTTTAAAGCATGCTGGGATGGCTGCTCATTAGCTATGAGACTCTGGGCAAGGGACCAAACCTTTCCTGGCTTCTGTCCGTACAACAGAACATTCTCGAGTTGTGAGCATCTGACAAGATGAGTGTGGAAGAGCCAGGCATTAGCTCAGCACCAGCCAGGATGCTCAGTGCCTTTCTAAGTGCCTTCAGGTTCTCTCCTGCAGACTCCCAACCCCATCACCATCCTTTTACTCCCTCAGCGTCTCGTCACTGTGGGTGGCCATGGCTCAACATCCACAGGATGAAGTCTAGGTCTCTGGTTCTTTCTACATCTGCCCGTTTCCACTCTTCTCTTCCTTCATCCATTCTCACACTCAGAAGTGCCACCACTTGGATGCTCACTGCTGTACATTTCTGCATCTGTGCTGGTGACTTCTTCAAGAGATTTTTTCCATCTGCGCCTGTCAAGTGCGCAGTCTCCAAGGAGACATCCAGAAAGATGCTTCATCTATGAAGTTTGCCACAGTGGACACTAGGATACTCGGGCAGCTTCCCCACTCATGGCTCCTGTCCTGGGATAGTTGGGTTTAGGGCTTTCTGACAATGGCTATGACTTTAGATTCAATTATGTTTAGAGCAGTTTTATTCACAGTAGTCAGTACCTGAAAGCAACTGAACTGTTCATTTTGGGTGAATGGATAAATTGTGTATGGACATGCAAACACTGGAATATGACTCAGCCCTGAAAATGGTAGGGCTTGGCCTTAACAGTATTGTGCTAAGGGAAATAGGTAAAACTCAGAAAGACAAACACTGTATAATCGCTCTCATATATTGAATTTAAAAGACTCATCAAAAAAAAGAACAGATTTGTGAAGACAAATCAGAGACAGTCACATAAGGAATTGAAAATAAACTTAGCAAAGAAGATCATATTTGTGGGCAAAAATCTGTGGTTATTAGAGTCAGAGTGGGAGCCTGAGGGAGTTAACAGTGATAAACATTCATTTATAAGTTAAACAAGTACTTGGGATAGAACACAATTATAGCTGATACATTTCTATGACACACAGGAAATCTTTTAAGAGAGTAAATCCTAATAGTCATCATCACAGAAGAATTCCAGAAACACTTTGAAGTTTTCACTATGGGAGAATTGAAATTTTTTTGTGTGTTAGAATGTTCTCTGTGTGTGTGTGTGTGTGTGTGTGTGTGTGTATGCGTGTATGTACATGTTTGTGAGAGAAAGAGATACAGAGAGAATAGCATAACCCTCATAACCTACACTTTTCACCTAGTTTTAATATTTATAACTTTTATAGCATCATAATTCAAAACTACTTTTTGGACATTATGAGACTAAAATGAAGTTAATCCATTCATTTGTTGGATATTCTACTTTCAATATCTCTTTCAAGTAATTTTAGGATTAACATTCTTGTGACTTCTATGCATTTGTTCAATTCTATCTTAAAGATAAATTTCTAGAGCTGGGGGATGTGGCCCAATATAGAGCATTTGTATTACATGTGTGAGGCTCTAGGTGGGGGTAGTGGGGGTGGGAGGGAGGTGTGTATTCAATAAATAAAGAATTGTGGCTCTCTCTCTCTCTCTCTCTCTCTCTCTCTCTCTCTCTCTCTCTCTCTGTGTGTGTGTGTGTGTGTGTGTGTGTGTGTGTTCTGTGGTCTGGAGCCGCTTCCCTCACCCTGGAAAGCTGATGTCAAGGGGCAGAAGAAGGAGGAAATGAGAGCCAGGCTAGTTGGTAGTCAGTTGGAGATTATTCCAATCTAGTCTCCCTCTGCCTCCTTCCAGTTTCACTCACTCCTGCATTCCTCCTCCTTGTGCCCACTTTTATAGCCTTAGTTATAGAGCAAAATCATGAGGGGTTGGAGTAGCAATTACACATAAGTGTGGTTGTACAATCAACAGATGTAAAGTTCTTCCCTCAGGGGAAGCTTCTTCTAGGACAAATTATCATCTAGCAAGGTGATCCCACCTAAAGGCAAAATACCATCTAGGGGTACATTTCTCCTTCCCTTAATCCAATAACTATTTAAACATTCATTATCTGCCTTGCACGCAGCCAACATGGCCGACCCAAGTTCGATTCCTCCTCCCCTCTCGAAGAGCCCGGCAAGCTACCGAGAGTATCTCGCCCGCACGGCAGAGCCTGGCAAGCTCCCCGTGATGTATTCGATACACCAAACAGTAACAACAAAGTCTCCAATGGAGACGTTACTGGGCCCGCTCGAGCAAATCGATGATCAACGGGAGGGCCTTTACTTACTTTACTTACTTAATAATATTACTCATTTTGTATGAACATGGGCTGGAGTGATAGCACAGCGGTAGAGCATTTGCCTTGTGCACTGCTGGCCCAGCCAACCCAGGTTCAATTCCTCTGCCCCTCTCGGAGATCCTGGTAAGCTACTGAGAGTATCTCGCCCGCATGGCAAAGCCTGGCAAGCTCCCTGTGATGTATTCGATATGCCCAACACAGCAACAACAAGTCTCACAATGGAGATGTTACTGGGCCTGCTCGAGCAAATTGATGAACAATGGGAGGACAGTGCTACAGTGCTTGTGTGAACATAGTGAGAGATATATTAAGCTTATTGGATGACTCTCCTGGGGGACATATTGTTATAGATCCCAGACTACAGTCCTCAGGTCAGATGAGTCCTTCCTAATCCCAGCAGGGTCCTTATCCAGTTTGGACCATGACAGAATTTGTCCATGACCATGCTCTTAACATATAGCTAAGTTTTATGGAGCTCAGCCTGTCCCATTTTGATGTCACAGCTCACAGTTTGTCCTGGGTCCATCTACTCTCTTCATCAGGATCCTGCTTTTGGAGTGCTAGGAACTAAGGGCAACTGAGACTTAAGTCGAGTAAATATGATGGATGCCCAGGAGTAAATACTATTCGGAATCAGTTAACTCCCAGGTTACAAAAGCATAGCATTAACTGTCTTCCTGTGTCTATACAAAAAGGACATTTCTCTAAAGTAAACTATACAAAGGACATAAGGGAAAGAGAAAGGCAATATTTCATTTACAAATACAATATTCAGAGTCCTTAGAAGAATCTGACCTTACAAGTCACAGGGTCTGATTTGGGGATATAGGTAATTAACAGATAAGAGAGGCAGAGCACAGGGAAGTTACAGATAAAGACAGAGGAATGGGAATGTCTTGGGAGCACAGTGATGGGTGTAAGCTCCCTGCAGCAAAGGAGAAAGGACAAACCAATGTTATCCTACAGGAAAGAGGTAGGGAGGGAAGAAGGGTGGAAGGGTGGATGGGTGGAAGGAAGGAAGGAAGGAAGGAAGGAAGGAGGATGGAAGGAAGGAAGGAAGGAAGGAAGGAAGGAAGGAAAATAGAAGGATGGAAGGAAGGAAGGAAGGAAACAGGTAAATTATATACTTACACTGAATTTTATTTTGAGTCTAGTATGAAGAAATTGCTCATTTGCCACATTCTTTCTGAAAAAGGTACTTATAAAAGGTAACTATTTTTCTTTTCTAAGTTAGGAAAAAACCCTCAGTAAGGAAATGAAATCAAGTCTTTTGATTACATCAATTGACACCAAATTGCATAAAGAACTTACTTGACAGGTGCTTTCAGGTGTTTAGTAATATCAGGCTTGACTTTTTTACTTGTCACTGTAAAGAGAAAAATTGTTCTGGTTGGTTGGAAGCTTGCCTCTCTGGCTTCGCGTGTGCTCCTTCCAGGTCTCAGCAAACAATAATACAGGACTAAACATCAGGTATAAAACCTCAGAAACAAAAGAAAGATATCAGGAGAGCAAATGTCGAGGTAGAAAGCCAAAGTCTCAGCTGGTCCCAGTCATCTGAAACCCAGGCAGGAGAGCTCATAGGTCAGTGAGCAGCTGGTCAAGCTGCCAAATGTAGGACGCCAGCAACTCTGGAAGGGGAGAGGTGCGGACACCCGCTCCTGGGCAAGCAGATGCTCCCAGCGCCCACCAAGGGGGAGACAAAGAGTGAGGGAGGCCAGGAAGGCAGGAGTCTGGGCAGGAAGTGACCTGTGAGAACAGCGCTCAGAGTCACATGGAACAGATGTGGTGGCTGCCTCTCCCCCTTTGCCGGGAACCTCCCTCTCCAGGCACGAGTGGGGCAATTCATCTTTGAAGTAAGAGTCAAGCCCGACTGAGGGTCTGGCCAGATCTCCCCACACACAGCCCTCTCAAGCAAGGAAGCACCCATAGGCCAAACTGCAGGCCAAACTCCCGACTTCCACAATGTACCCTTCCTCCTACAGATACCATTTAGGTGGAAAGACAAGAATCACCAGCCTTCGAAGAAAGGCTTATAACACGAAAGTGAACAACCAGAATTAAACAAGGAGAAATAAATCAGTAACAGAAACCCACATCTCTGGAAATCTCTCTCGGAACATAGAATAAAAACAAAAACCAAACCTCCCCTCCGCCACACACACACACACACACACACACACACACACACAAAGAAAAAAAAAGAGAGAGAGAAGTTTTTGTTTTCTTTAATGGCGGTAGAGAGGAGAAAATGTTGTTTTTTGTTTTTATGTTTGTTTTAAATGAGAGATTCAGGTCAATAGAGCCCACATACAAATGTTTGGATATTTATTTTTAGCTGTGGGTCACATCCAGCTGTAGGCAGGGTTTATTTCTGGCTCAGTGCTCAGGGATCACTCCTGGTGGGCTTGAGAGACCATATGGAGTGCTGGGGATAGAAATTGGACCTGCTATACTCTCTCCAGCCTTAATTATTTGAATAAAGGAGAGTATAGTAAAAAAAAAGTGTGTGTGTATGTGTGTGTGTGTGTGTGTGGGGGGGAAATTATAGAGGAAGTCACAGAAGAAGAAATTGTAGAATTTAAGAAATACAGTACTGGGAACTGGACCAATAGCACAGTGGGTAGGGCATTTGCCTTGCACAAGGCCAACCTGGGTTCGATTCCCAGCATCCCATATGGTCCCCTGAGCACCGCCAGGAGTAATTCCTGAGTGCAAAGCCAGAAATGACCCCTGTGCATCACGGGGTGTGACTCCCCCCCCCCGCCCTCCCAAAAAGAAATACAGTACCTTCATTTAAAAATCTTAAGTTTTAGTTCTCTTATTTAACTTTTTAATTTTGCTGTTCGTTGCGCGGGGGCTATGTGCTCAGGGATCACTCCTGGTGGTGCTCAGGGGACCATAAGTGGTGCCAGGGATCAAATGAGGATCTGCTGCGTGCAAGGCAAGTGCCTTATGTGACCCTGTGCTCTCACTGGCCCCTAGAGTCACTTGATTTGCACAATCTAGCAAATGGCCTCTATAAGGATTGAGAAAAAAAAAACCTGCCTCTCCCCCCTAAAAGAACATTACAGCAACATAGATTTAAACGTTTCAGATCACTCTGATTTAAAAAAAAAACACAGATTTTTAAAATTTCCAGAAAGAATAATGACATGTGAAGAAGTGAACATCTGAATGAAACTGGGCACTTCACGACCAATACTGGAAGGTGGCAGATGGATCCTTAAAATTCTGGACAATGGTGGCAGGGGCAGGGGCAGGGGGAGGCAGGGCGGTGGTGGAGAAACAGTACAGTGGGAACAGCATTAGCATGCATACAGCCCATTCAGGTTTGATCCCCAGTACCCCATATGGTTCCCTGAGCCTGCCAGGAGCAATCCCTGAGCACAGAGCCAGGAGTTAGCCCTGAGCACCACCAGGTGTGGCCCCCAAACAAACAAACAAAAAACCCCACAACATCTGAAAAATGGGGTTGAGGGATAGTACAGAGGTTAAGGTGTTGCCATGTGTGTCACCAGTTTGATCCCAGGCACCTGAGCTCTGCCAGTGTTGATCTCTGAACACAGAGCCAGGAGTAAGTCCTAAGAACAGAGAAATTTAAAAATGATTCCGGAATAGTTTTCAGCATATAGCTTTATAAGTTCACATCTGTACATACTGCAGTGAGCCAACCCCCGGATTTCCACCCCCACTGGTCCATCCAGCCAAGCTCTTTCATCCACTTTAGCCACCCACCTCCTCCTTCAGTAACCACTAAGGTGGTTCTAAGTCAGTCTATGGTTTTTGTTTTGTGTATTTTCTTCTTTTTTTCATTTAGATCATGAGGGGGAGTACACTTCCTCCATATGATTTTGAGTTGTATCCCCCAAACCAGCACCTCTCCCAATTTCTAGAAGATAATTATTTCCGAACAAAACTGTAATGGAATGATGGAGATATGGGTGTGGGATAGACACATGCCTAGGGATGTCAAGACAGCAGAGAGTGAGTTCCTGGACCCTACAAAGCTCCTGGCAGAGGTACTTTGGCAAAGAAGGGTCTGGCAGAAGATCCTAGGCACCAGGGCCATGCCAGCCCCCCACTCCCAGCACTACCCACTGAGGTGGAAAGTTGGCCACAGACAAAGGGCCAACTGGCAAAGGTAAGGCAGAAGAGATGGTAGAAAACAAGAACACAAAGCAAGAGAAGCCAAACCCAGGCCATTCAAGCAGAAAGGAAAAGGAACCGAGTGCATCTCATCCGTGCCCAGGATTTACTCAGTGGCATTAATGCAATCAAACTGCATTAGGAGAAGCCAGCAGGAGAGAACTGGGGTCTGGGAACTACCGCATAGAAGTGAAATCTTTCCATTTCAGCAGAAGCCTGTAGCTAACACCAGAGACAAAAGCCCCTGTGATATGAGGATGAAATAACCAGAGTGACAAATTCCAGGAGGCAGCTGAATGTGTTGAAGACTCTGGGGGCAGCTGTGGGTGCTGGGTGGCATCTGCTCTATTTCACCACAGTCCCCCATTCGTGTTATTTGTCCTGTAAAACTGTGAACATGCATTTCTTTTATAGGAAACACTTGGCAACTTTGGTCAAATGAAGCAAGTTAGAAACTTTGTTCAGAAGTCACTGGACTCCCTGGTGCAATGGAATCAAAACAGGAAAAGGAGGCTGTGAATATGCTAAGGGGTCCACACTGGTTCAGCTCAGATTCCCCATGTCCCAACGCCTGTAACTAACAGAATAGAGATAGTGAGTCTGGAATCTGGCACCAGATTAACCCAATCCAAACTGGGTTGGAATGGAGGCGCTATAGTCATGGTTTGAGAGAGTAGGGTATTTTTTTCATTGGGGGGTTACTTTGGGGGGACCATACCTAGTGGTGCTCAGACTCCTTGCTCTGTGTTCAGGGATAACTCCTGGCAGTGCAGGGACCATATGTGTTGATGGGTTGTGTGTGTGTTCAAAAAAGGGCGGGGGCACACTCTCACCATGTAAGTTCAGTAACCATGAGTCGCCTCCCCACCCTGGCCACCCCCCGCCCCAGCCACCACTGCCAACAGATGCATGAAGGAGGGAACAGGGCCACCAGGCTGGTTGGTGATCAGTCGCCATTTATTACAATCTCCGTCCTGCCATTTATTTCATTCTTCCTGAATGCCTCTTCCAATCTCACTGAGCCCCCCATTCCAGTCTCACACAGCTCCTCATTCTCAACTCTTACTTCCTCTTATGCTAGTCTCCCTGTCCCCTGTCTCATAGCCTTAGTTATTGGAAACAATCACCAAGGGCCGAGGGTAGCTATTACACATAGCTCAGATCACACAATCAACATACTGAGGGCTGGAGCAATAGCACAGTGGGTAGGGCCTTTGCCTTGCATGCGGCCAACCTGGCCGACCTGAGTTCCATTCCTCTGCTGCCCCTCTCGGAGACCCCGGCAAGCTACTGACAGTATCTCACCCACACAGCAGAGCCTGGCAAGCTCCCTATGGCATATTCGATATGCCAAACACAGTAACAACAAATCTCACAATGTTACTGAGCCCGCTCGAGCAAATTGATGAACAATGGGAGGACAGTGACAGTGAATGTACAATGGATCTAAAGTCATTTAATAGAAAAAGTGTAAGTCTTTTCAATGAGTAAAAATACTGGGAAAATTGGATAGACGTATGCAAAGTTCATATAGACTACTTTCTAACTTTATATACAAAAAATTAATTCAAGAGGCCAGAGAGAAAACTCAAGTGACAGAGAAAATATCTAGCATGTTGGAGACCCTGAGTCTTATCCAGAACACTGCATAGCATCCCTAAGAACAGTTGAAAATGACCTCAAATTACAAGAGTGACTCTGATAAAAGACAAAAATGAAAACAAACCAAAAGTTCATTAAAAGCAGATTAAATACTTTGAGGTAAGATTGGAAAAACTTATAAGGCATAAGAACATACTTGAAAAATTCCAGGACATTAATGTTAGAGATGTTTTCGGGAACTTGGTCCCATTATCGAGGGAAGTAAAAATTAGTGATAAATCTTTGAAACTTCATTATATTAAAAAACTTTTTCTAGAACAACAAAAATAGAAATAGAAGAGGGAATCCATTGGCTGGTAAGAGATATTTGCACATCATAGGTATGATAAGTGACTGATAATTAAGGCATATAAAAAAAACTCCTACACCAATAAAAATCTTTTTTAATTCAAATACAGGGAGGAAATTTAAATAATTACTTCTCTAAGAAGGACATACAGATGGCCTATGGTCTTATAAAAGAAAGTTCATCATCACTGATCATTTGGGAAATGTTAACTAGGACCACAATGAAATACCACCTACACCTGTGATAACGGCTTCCATTAAAATCACCAATAACGACCAATATGGAAGATAGTATAGGTAAAAATTCTTGAGCCCTGTTAGGGGGACTTTTAATTGGTGCCATCACTCTAGAGAACACTATGATGCTTCCTTAAGAAGCTGAAGATAGAGTTAGGGTATCCATCCAAAGAACCCCGATACTGCAGTGTTAGGAATAGCCAAAGCTAGAGTAACACCAAAGTGTCTGTCTTTAGATGGTTGGAAAAATAATAGTATCCACTTATTAAAAAGGTGATAATTTACCACTTGTAGCAAAATGGAAAGAGCTTAAGGGAATTCTTTGAAGTGAAAATAAGTCTGAAAAGAGACAAATACTTGATGATTGATGAAAGGACAAAACAAAATAGACAAACCAGGGCACATGGATCATGGTTGTCTGAGGGGGAGAGGAATATGTGAGGAGATAGGATGGGATGAAGGGGCTAAAAATAATTATCAAGTAAGTTGGTATTTCTTACACAGCACTGTCTCTTTGAAAATTCTATGATTTATGAGCATGTATGTATATGGATCCAAAATTAGCATTTTGGCTGCTTCCAAATTCACTGGATTATCTAGAACTGGCTCCGAAAGCATAACCTGTAGGAAGACATAGAGAATGAAGAGTTTTTAGAGGAAACATTTTTATTTGGGAGGAAGTATAATGCAATACATATGTCACTTATGAAGAATGTATTAATTGTCTGTTATGCATCCACCTAAAGGTATGAGACATGGTCTCTGTTCCCCAGAAACTCCTGATCTGTTTTGATCCAATCAGTTTCTAAGTCAAACATTAGGGTTCAAGTAGGTTCAAGTTCCTGTTCCTTCTGTAATATACTCATACATTCAAATTGGATCAATGTGTAAAGGAATAACAAGAGCAAAACCCTGGGCTAGGGATTTACGCAAAGGACTGTAGGCATGCTTAGCATTTGGAAACCCTGGGTTCAAGCACCATCACTGCCTGGTCTCCTGAACACCATCAGGTATATCCTCCCGCCCCCCCCCCACACACAGAATATTATTTTAAATAAAACCCAGACCCCTTACACTTTAATGAGAGATCTTATGAAGATCATGGATAAACAAGCACATGTGTACCTCAAACTCCCTCCAGATCATCAAATAATTCATTTGATGTGATATATGGGAGATTTTAAAAAAATTCTGCTGTAATGAATTGCCACCAACCTAGAGGTTTATGCCAACACATGAGTATAATCTCAAATTTCCACAGGCAGAAAGTATGTGGGCACGGGTTTCTCTTTCCAGGATTTAACAACCTGAAATCCAGAAAGGTGTCTGCTGGCCAGGCTCCCACTAGAGGTTCTGGAAGAATGTGCTTGGGGTGACTTTCAGTGAGTTGAGCAGCCTGCAATGGTAGAACAGTTTCATTTTGTTGTTGACTGATAGTAGTGGGGCACCCTCACTTATAGGTCCTCAGACTGGCGCTCTATCTCAGTGAGAGAAAAGATTGGCAAATCTTCCTTCTTCCGGAAATTTCTCCAAACTCTTCACCACACACTTTCCTTTTTTATCTTTCACTTTATTTGTCCCAGTTACTCTTCAACCTCCCCCTTCTATCGTTAACAGTTCATATGATTAATTTAGGAACCTGGCATATAATAGGGTAACTTTCTTCCTCAATTTTTTTCTGGCTGTTTGGGTGGCACACTAAGTAACACTTAGGGGCCACTCCTGGTCTTATGCTCAGGGATCACACCCAGTGATGCTTGGGTGATTATCCAGTGCTGGGAGTCAGCATCTAATCTCCTGGATACAAAACATGAGCTCAGCCCTTTGAGTTAACTCTCTGGCCAACCTTCCTCTTTTAAGATAAGCAGATAAATATCTTCATTTTCATCTGAAAATTTCTTTCACAGCAGAACCCAGATATAGGTCTTACCCCATTGACTTACCAGAAAAAGGATTAGGATGAGGGTTTCTTTAAAACTTTGCTTACCATCAGATCTACATATCTGGACAAAAGAGTAACCAAAACTTAATAGCTCTGGCTATACCATCATATTAATTTAGCTGGGACCTCAAAAATTTATATTAGTCTAAATTGCACATATTTGTTTTAGAATTCAGTATTTTAGAGTCACGATGTGAATATGCAAACTACATATTAACATAAGGCCAAAATAATAACAACCAGAACACTTAGGTAAACCTGCAGGATAACTGCACCAAAGAGCCATGGATATGAGGGTCACTTTTCACTGAGAAACACAACCATCTGATGCCTGATCCCCTCTAACAGGGACTCCTGAGGATGGTGCAACCCCTGTCAAAGTGGGGGGTGGGGAAGCAGACAGAGCTTCCATGGTCAAGAGCAGTCTTCTAGTGTCTAGTCCGTCTGTAGAGAGATGCTTGCTGAGAGAGGAACAGGGGGTAAAACTCACTCAATGGTCTTCACCATCACTTGTGTACTTCACACCTCTGCATGCAACACACATGGAAGCTGTTAAGTGTGTCCAGTGCTTTTTAAGAACTGGAATAAAGGAACCAGAGTGATAGTACAGTAGGTAGGGTGCTTGCCTTGCACGCGGCCAATGAAGGTTTGATTCCCAGTATCCTATAAGGTTCCCCGAGCACCACCAGGAGTACTGAGTGCAGAGTCAGAAGTAATCCCTGAGCGTCCCCAGGTGTGGTGCCAAAACAAAATAAAGAGAACTGGAATATAAGGAATATAATGCAAATAAAATGAAAGCCCAATACCTCACTCTAGTCACATTTCAAGCCTTCTGCAGCCACCTGTGACTGGCTGGAGGGTGACTAAACTGGACAGAGCAGATAGTGTACCTTCAAAAGTCTGGTAGTAGTCACTAAAATATTAACTGTAGGAACCAGAGAGATGGTACAGTGGTAAGTTGCTTGCTTTTCATGCGGTTAACCCAGATTCAATTCCTGATACCACCTACTATACCCCGAGCAGTGCCAGGAGTGATCCCTAAGTGCAGCTGGGTATGGTCCCAAACCAAGGTCCCCAAATTAACTGCAGCAATCAGGAAATTTTTGAAATAACGTGGTAAGTTTTAGAAATAGAGTCAGGCTCTATAATCATGACCTATGCCATATTGCAATGGTGTTAATATTTGGGTTGATTCCAGCATTCATGTTTTTCAGTGTCTTCTTAATGTCATAACCTTCCTGCCTATATTCTGGGAACCAAAGATGAGCAGGGTCTGCTGCCTGGTGTGGAGAAGTCTCCAGTCCCACAGGGAAAGACACAGAAGGAAACAGTGGGAATATCTTCACACTCTGAAACTGGCTTGGGGTTCCACTTACCAAGTGGGAAGCAAAGAAAGAATCCCCCCAAACCAAAACCATCAATTCTACCTAGGAGAAGAAACCAAGACAGACACCTTCAGAAGGATGAAGAGGACATGACTCCTACAGAGTGAGCAATTGCTTGCCAGACAAATAGAGGGAGAGGAATGGAGAACATGGGCTGCCAATCAGATTGGGAGTTGGGCCAACCACTGGCACTGCAGCATCATCCAAAATGTGCTTGAGTTTGTAACTTTTAGGCGTTAGAACTCTATCTCTTCTGTTAGACCCAAATGGCTTTAGGCACTGGAGCGAATAAAAGCAAGAGCCTACAAAAAGAGAAAGGACTTCAGGTGTGTTAGTGGCGTCTAAAGCCCAGGTGTGAGAAAGGAATCTTTGTTAGGCAACGTAACTGGGTATCAACCCTGCAATGAATGTGGAACCCAGACATTTGTCATTGTTGCTGTTTGGTTTGGGGGCCACACCCGACTGTGCTCAGGACGTCCTCCTGACTCTGCACTCAGGGATCACTCCTGGTGGGCCCGGGATCGAAGTTGTGCACAAGGCAAGCACCTTAAACAGAACAGGGTAGAAAACACCAAAGACAATGCAGAACAGCAGGGAGGGCTTTCCCTCACAGCTATCAGTGATTTTCTTTTCCTTTCCACCAAAAAATCTGCTACAGTGTGCGCATATGTGCATAGCGTTTATCGTTAATTATTGTTGCAGTGCATTAGTGTTTGACAATAAGAACAAGGATGACATTAAGTGGAATTTATCGGGTTCTTTTCTTTCTTTTATTATTTTTGGGGGCGTTACACCCGGCGATGCACAGGGGTTACTCCTGGTTCTTGCACTCAGGAATCACCCCTGACAGTGCTCAGGGGACCATATGGGATGCTAAAAATCGAACCCAGGTTGGCTGCGAGCAAGGCAAACACCCTACCCACTGTACTATCGCTCCAGCCCTTCAGGTTCTTTTGTTGAACACTCACTTCTAAGCATGTTATATTTGCTAAAACATTTTATCTTTGTAACGCATGTGTGATGGCTACTTAACAGCCCCATTTTACCGAGGGAGAAACTGAGGCATTGGGCAGAGAGGAAACTTGTTCAATCGCACAAAGATAGTAAGGAGCAGAACCATGATATGAAGTCACACAGCCTAAACTAAGAGTCTCAAACTGATCTTTAATTGCATTAATACACAATTCAAAATTTCACCATTTCAGTATGATTTGGCCCCGCGTGTTACAAGTTTAGGAATATTCCACTATATCATTTGGAAGGCATATCTCCTACTTTAGATGGAAGAGGAAGGACTATAACCAGTTTGAAGCGATCCAAACGTTGAACCCCAGATGCATCAGTTCCTCAATTCTTTAAAGCTTTTGCTCAAAAGTTTTCCCCAGAGTATGGCTGGACACAGGTAAAAGCTCAATATAGATTTGCTTAAGGAATGAATGAAATGATGAATACTTATCAAGAGTAAATATATATATATACATATTTTTGATAGTGCTTTTTCTTTTTAAAAAAATTTTAATGAATCACCATGAGATGCAGTTACAGATTTACAAGCTTTTGTGATTATGTTTCAATCAAAAAATGTTTGAGTACCCATCCCTTCACCAGTGCCCATTTTCCACCCCCAATGTTCTCAGTGTCACTCCCACCACCTCCACCCCTTCACACCCCCTGCCTCTGTGGCAGACACATTCCCTCTTAAGGAGTAAATATTTTTGTCCATTCTGAGTAGAGAGAAAATAGGAAGTGGGATTTACTTGACAACTCTGTTACTGAGAAAATGCAATTAAGCCAGAATACGTGACTCCAAATTTTCACAATGAAATAATTTCTCTTCAGATTCCATTAATGATGTTGGAGAAAATATCACTGGGCCAGAAAGAAGTGGTCAGCGTAGATAGAGGTCACTGGCATCGCTCTCTCTTGGTGTAGGATAAGAAGGGGGTCTCTTTGAGTATCAGGAATAGTCTATTTGACACAAGGGCTTTAAGTGTGGAGCCAAGATAGCCTAACATCACCTTGAGGTGGTTTTTGTCTTCTGCTATAACATGGTTTTCTTGGTTGAAATGGGTGACTTTTGATGTTTTTGTCTTCTTTTATATCATGGTTGAAATGGGTCTAAATGATGACTTCTACTTCAAGACAATAATCTTTATAATCCATGTTCTAATTTATAGTCTTAATACAGAAATGCTACTAATTCTTTAAAAAATAATAGACATGCTACATGATCCGGGAATTCCACTGCTAGGAATCCGGCCCAAGAAACCCAGGAAACATATTTGAAAAAGTACCTGGTCACCACTTAGGCTCATTGCAATGCTATTTACAGCAGCCAAGATGTGGAAAGAAGTCAGGTGACCCACTGACAGAAGAACGGCTAAAGATGTGGAATACTATTCAGCAATAAAAAAGATGAAATCTTGCTTTGCTGCTACAACATGGGTGGAATAAGAAAGTGTCAGGGTAAACCAGCTAAGTCAAAAGGAGAAGGCGTGTACCAGATGATCTCACTTGTGTAAGTGGTCTACAGAGAAACAAAGCAAAGGAACAGACAGTGCTCAGTATAAACAAACCCTTGGACTCTGACCACAGTCCTAAGGTTATTTTGGGAGGAAGGAAGGGTCTGGAAGGGAAGAGGCCTACGGACAATGGTGAAGGGACACTGGCACTTTGGTGTCAGGGATGGTGTGACAAAATTTTGCTACTAAAACTGAAAAACATTTACATGCCTATTAACAAAGGTAGCAGCAACACATTCAAAATACATTTAAAGTAAAGTGTAAAATAACAGAAAAAAGTTAGATCTGCACTGTAAATTGCATTAATCCTACTTTGGCTAACGGGGATTATTTAAAGTGTCGAGGAGAGCATAAGGAGACTCTGGGCTTACCTGGAGGGAGAGCAAGATGCTGCTCAAGGTGTAGCCTTTTCTCCACTTTTTAAGGCTGTCCAAAAAATCTATACAAGGCCGACGGGTAACTTGGTGTACTATTTGAAAAGAATAAGTTGATATTGACAGGTGTAATTAAAACATTACTTACAGTGTGTCGGGCTCTTGCCTGGTACACAGCCCACCTAGGTTCAATCCCCTTGTACCCCATATAGTCCCTTGAGTTCCTTCAGGAGTGATGCCTGAACATAGTTAGTATGGCTCCCTCCCCCTCCCCCCCAAAAAACAATTGTAGATGATACGTGAAAATATGCCTTGAATTCAAGAGGCAAAATTAGCAACAAATAGTTCAACAGTTGTGTGAACAACTCTGGCATCTTTTGTTCCATTTCTTCTCTCTGAAGAAGCAGCTACACCATAGTGGCCCCAGCCCCATGACCCACGTGGCTTCAGATGAGATCAGCACTGCTAGATGAATACCTGCCTATGTTTCCCCAGCCTCCCTTTTATATGCGTTCTCCGACTAAGTTCTGGGCACAAGAGCTCAGCAGGGGGAATGTGACGTCCTTTTTGGACAATATGTTGTTGGAGGTGACCCTGGTTGACATGTGCATTTCACACCAATTCAAAAGGAAGTCACCACTGCTCAATCCCCGACCAAAGTGCTGAAATCCCTCCTAACTGTGCTCGCACCACCTCCTCCCTCAACGGCAATGGACCTGATTCAAGCTCTGGGTTGGTTTGTATCTTCCCTTGCTTTGCTACTTTACATACCACATAGAAATGTTTTTGTTGTTGTTGTTGTTGTTGTTTTCTTTTTGGGTCATATCCAGTGATGCTCAGGGGTTACTCCTGGCTCTGCACTCAGGAATTACTCCTGGTGGTGCTTGGGGAATCATATGGGATGCCAGGGATTGAACCCAGGTCGGCCTCATGCAAGGCAAACATCCTACCCATTGTATTATCACTCCACCCCAGAAATGTGCTTTTTATTTATTTATTTATTTTTGCTTTTTGGGTCACATCTGGCGATGCACAGGGGTTACTCCTGGCTCTGCACTCAGGAGTTACTCCTGGTGGTTCTGTTTGGGATGCTGGATGTACTGTTTGAAAAGAATGGGATGGTGGTTCATATGGGATGCTGGGAATCGAACTCAGGTCAGCCGTGTGCAAGGCAAAAGCCCTACCTGCTGTGCTATCTCTCCAGCCCCCAGAAAGGTACTTTTTAAATGAATCTGACTCCCTTCTCTTTCTCTATCCCACTCCTGACTTACCGACAAGAACTGCCTTTCACCAAAGGACATAGCCACAGTTGGGGATGCAAACCACCATTTCAGTGTTTTTCTGTGATAGATACAAATATATATATGTATGTAAGTGTGTGTGTGTGTGTGTGTGTGTGTGTGTGTGTGTATGGGAAAGGGAGAGAGAAGCCTGGGACGCGGCTCACTGGATAGAAAAAGCACCTCCTTTGGAGGGTAAGGCCCTGAGTTTAGTCCCTGGTGCCATCCACACGCACTGGGCATACTCTGGTGGCTTTCAGTCTGTGAACCCTGGCACTGCAATGGCACATGTGTGAGGACACACGATGAGGCAAGCTTGGTGTACACTGTCCTTTTCCATTTTCCCCAAAAGCCATGTATAATTATAACCAAGATTTTTTTTTAAGAAACAAATTATTAAACACTAACTAGAAAAAAGGATAATAGGGCAGAGCTCCCATGATGAAAATTTCACTCAATCCTTACCATTGGGATGAAATGGCAGTACTTTAAATTTCACAACTGGAGGGACAAGGTTGTACTCTGGCGTAAAATTCAGGGTCAGGTAGAAGTACAACCCTATGGTACAGAAATAAAACATTTTTAGGGGTGTTGCTCGGATTCATTGGAACCTGATTAACTCCAGTTCTTTCTACCATTTTGCCTCTCTAGAGTTCCATCTGGAAGTAAACAAAGGCTACTCAGGCCCTCTGCATCAAATAACAGCCTCCTGGAAAGCTAATCCCACGAGTCCTCCTCTGGTTTCCCACCATCCTTCTTGTTCACTATCTTTCTGATACTCAACTCCTTATTGAGTATCTCATCTTTACCCAATACATGGTTCCAGAACCCTCTCTTGTCTACACTCCTCTGCCATGATGTATAGGCTGCCTGGGTTTCATTCCCCTCCTGAACTTTGGCAAATTTACAAATTTTTCAGCATTCAGTCCAAAAGTTATTTCTTTAGGCACATTCATTTTTTAATTTAATTTTTTAAAAATTTTATTGAATCACCATGAGATAGTTACAAGCTTTAATGTTTGGGTTACAATCACACAATGATCAAACACCCATCCTTCCACCAGTGCACATTCCCCACCAGCAAAATCCCCAGTATACCTCCTCTTTTCCACCCTCCCCCTGCCTCCATGGCAGACAATATTACCCATACACTCTCTCTACTCTTGGGCATTATGGTTTGCAATACAGACACTGAGAGGTTATCATGTTTGGTCCTTTACTTTCTGCACACATCTCCCAACCCAACTAGTTCCTCGAGCCATCATTTTCTTAGTGATCCCTTCTCTATTCCAGCTGCCTTCTCCCCTTTGCTCATGAGGCAGGCTTCCAGCTATGGAACAATCTATCTGTCCCATGTATCTACTATTCTTAGGTGTCAGTCTCATGTTATGTTGTTTTATATTCCACAAATAAATGGAATATGTCTGTCCCTCTATGTCCCCCATAGTGTTCTATGTCTGTCCCTCTCTTTCTGACTCATTTCACTTGGCATGATGCTGTCCATGTCTATTTACTTATAAGCAAAGTTCATGACTTCATCCGTCCTGACAGCTGCATAGTATTCCATTGTGTAGATGGACCAAAGTTTCTTTAATCAGTCATCTGTTCTAGGGCACTTGGGTTGTTTCCAGATTTCAGCTATTGTGAACAGTACTGCAATGACATATAGGTACAGATGCCTTTTCTACTGTGCTTTTTTGCATCCTCGGGATATATTCTGAGAAGTGGTATTATGGGGTCATATGGAAGCTCAATTTCTAATTTTTGAAGGACTGTTCATATTGTTTTCCAGAAAGGCTGGACTAGTGGGCATTCCCACCAACAGTGAAAGAATGTCCCTTTTCCCCCACATTCACGCCAGCACTGGGTGCTTTTGTTCTTTTGAATGTGTTTAGACACATTCTTGACTTCACCAGTTAATCCTCTCTCCTGATGTTCTATTCAAAACATGTGATAGTCCCATTTTGTATTTGTATCCTAACTATCCACTTATATGTTCTCCTTCCTTATCTGATTCAGCAAATCTATCTAGTTAATTCATGACAGAAAAAGAATATGGTCACTGGGGCTGGGGAAATGGCTCAAAGGGCTGGTGCATGTGAGCCCATTGCTGGGTCCAATTATACCACACAGTCTCTGGAGCACCAACTCTGGAGTATCCCTTGAAGTACTGCTGAGGGTGGCCCAACAACAGAGAAAAAACAGGAAGAACGAAAATAAGTCGATCACTAAAATGTATAGTGGCCCAATGCTTTTGAGAACCTGATCAACAGAAGATTTGGGAGAAATCATAGAGAGATAAAAAGGGAAGGAGACTTATTTGTAAGATTTTTATGTCCCTAAACATTTTGATACCTATTCTTTTTTTTTTCATAGGTGGTGGTTAGAAAAAAACCTTCAAATAATTGGTTTCACTGCATCTATTTATTAGAAACACTGTGAATTTAATATTTGGCATAAAAGGAAAACCCAAAACTAAAATTTCCAACTATGTTGCAAAACAAATAAATAAATAAATAAAAATAAAACAAACAAAAAAATCAAGCCACATAATACAAAAATAACATGAATATTTTGAGCTCTAGAAAAATTATACAATGCAAACTTAGTCAATCTACAATAAAAGCCAGCAATAGTAGACTTTTAAAAAAAGTACTGATTTTAGAAATACAAACCTTGCCAAGGGGTGCCCAGGAGACCTTCCAAACAAACATCCCAATCCATCATATTTTCATCCAGAGGAAGGACAGTAATACCCTTAAATTATGAAAAAATCAAAACAGAAATAAATATAAAAGGCATCAGATATTTAATCAATCAAATAACTCAAATTGAAAAATTAAATTTCATGTTTTGATTAATTCCCCCAAACTACATTTTCTTTTCCTGTTGAATTTATTTGTTTATGAGGGTGAGTGTTATGTACTGTCTTATTATACAGAAATGATGGCAGCAATAAATTTTTCTTTAGTCTTATATTTTGAAAATTATCATTGCAGTTTAGGTCCAAAATAGTATTAACATTTATGGTCTTGATGTACCATTATTAAACCTCACCACCGCCCAAGTGTTTAAGATCCTTCATCATTGTCCTATGTTACTTCCTGTCCACCTCTTCATTTTCCCACATGGCTTACTAATCTGCCTTATGTAACCCAAGGCCAAGGTATTTTCATCATTTAATACTATCTATTCACTCATTTTGTTTCTCTATATACCAGAGAAGAATGAGATCATCCTGTATTTGCCCTTATCCTTGACAACTTATTTTGCTTGACATGACTCCTTCCAGTTCCATCCATGTTGCAATGAACTACAAGATTTTATCTTTTCTTATAGCTGCAGAATATTCCACTGTGTGTTTATGCCACAGCTTTTTGTATCTAATCATCTGGACATTTGGGTTGTTTCTACTTCCTGGTCATTACTGTGAACACCGCAATGAACATAGGCATACATATGTCTCCTTTAAGTTAGTTCAACAAAAAAAAACTGAAATAAACTATGGGTGTTAAAATTTCAGTGCGAGTACAGGGTCAAGACTGGGATGTGTGGCTTAGTAAAGTCAATAGTCAACTGAAGACCCAAATAAAATATTAGAAAGCATGCATTGCTTTGAGATTCTTGAAAATTGCTTGGAGGTTTTGAATGTTATAAAATCAGAAAACTGCATTAAAAAAGCAACACTACAAAGTTGGCTTATAAATAAAACTAATATTCTCTGGGACCAGAGCAGTAATACAATGGCTATTTGCCTTGCATGCATCTGACCTGGGTTCAATTCCCGGCCTTCCATATGGTCCCCCAAGCCCACAGATGTGATCCCTGAGTGTCATGCCAGGAGTAAGCCCTGAGCACTGCCAGGTGTGACCACCAAACAACAAAATATATATTTTCTTCCATTTGAGCATTTTCAATGAGAGGAATAATAATACTGCCGATTACATTCAGGAATATACCAGTATATCCAAACATCCCAACCCATGAAATGTTTCTGAACAACTATTCAATGGCTATGTGCTAATCCTGATAAACATTCTGTCTGCATCTGCATTTCCTATATTTATACATCACTTCTTCAGTGAACTCATTTCATCAAAGAGCCCGAAAATTCAGGTAGAGCAAGCTATAATCAAAAGCTGTACTTAGAGGCCAGCCGGGTATCCTAGAGGAAAGGGCAGTTCAGATAGAGAAGGGAGCACCAAATAAAGGATGTTTGGAAGATCCTCCAAGGAGGGAAGATGCATGTCAGGAGTAGACTATGGACTGAACATGTTTGCCACTCAATGCCTCTTTTGCAGACCACAACACCCAAAAGGAGAGAGAGAACACAGGGGATTGCCCTGCCACAGAGGCAGGGGGGGTGGGGGGATGGGGGTGGGAGGGATATTATCCATGGTGGTGGAAAATGGGCACTGGTGGAGGGATGGGTATCTGATCATTGTATAATTGAAACCAAAGCACAAAAAATTGTAAATCTACAACTGTAAAAAAAAAATAAAATAAAATAAAGGAAAAAAGAAAAGCTGTGTTTATGCCTTTGAGATGGAGGTGAGATTCAGCAAATGTCCCTAACCTCTCTAATGAAGCAACAATTGGAGATCAGGGGAGGGGAGGAACAGTGTCACTGAAAAATACTGGCGTCACTCTTGACTCCCCTTCAGCTACAGAAAAAAGGAGCTTACGTCTCTTCTCCGGTCCCCTTAGGTAGCCCTTCCATTTTTTATGATCCACACAGTGTGATGAATCAAGCTGCAGCTCTTAGGCAACGTACCTCATTGGTGGCCTTCAAGGCAAAGACTGCCTCTGTGTCAAAAGGATAAAAGGCGCTTCTGTATTCTACTTGACAACAGCCAGCTGTGGATATTGTCTCTGTGGATTGAGGGCTCACATCCACACAAATGACCCAGCATGGAGCGCTCAGAACTGTTAACTACTATCCTTAGAAAGTACTCATTGCTTCGTCATGAAATGATACTGTGATACTGATTCAACATGGTACTGGCAATTTAACTCCAATGGAATCATGCCCGAATCTACCAAATACAGATAAAAATACCTTTTTTTTTTCTCAATACAGATTCCCCAGGAAGGGACCATGGGTTACGTACTCACATGGTATTGGCTCTCCCTAAACTCCCGGAATTCTTTTTGTAGCAACAAGTAAGCTGTGCTGTGCATGCTTGGGCACCGAGAGGTCTTTCAAGCGTCTGCACTCTGCGGAGGGGCCAGGGCTTGTCTCCAGCCCAGTCACTGACATGAGCCCTGGAACGCTGCGTGAGCCCAAGAGAAGCGACCTCTAAGTTGGGCGTTGATCCTGATTTTTTTTTCCCTCCGGATTCTGCCAAAGGAGAACTTCCAGCGGGAAAGCGCAAGTGCCTTATCTGCCTAAGGCCAACCTGGACACGAACCTGTGTCCGAACGGTTTGTAGATCAAAGTGGGCGTGAGAGGCTTAAGGTAGATGTAGCTGGGCCTGGCTTCGCTGTTCCCGGGTGACCAAAGTCCCAGGGGGGCCAGAGGATGCCATCGGTTGCCAAGCAACAGCCCCCCCCCGTGGGAAACCAGAGAAAAGGGGGGTGGAGCTTAACCTACCTTCAACCAATAGGCGGGAGGGAAAGGTCCCCCGAAGCGGCTGCAGCCATTTAGAAGCACCAATGAGACCGTCTTTAGGGCGGGACCACCAGTACCTTCTGCCTCTTGGCTCAGCCTAAGAGGGATGGAGCCATCCCGTTAGAGGTTGGGGTGGGAAAGGGTCAGCCTAGGCGCTTATGCCAGACCTTCTTACTCTGAGCCTGTAAATGATCCTTCCTCTTCCTCTGAATTTCAGAAACCATCTGATAGAGTCTCGTGAGTACAGGTCTGCACTTAATACCCGCCCCAGTCCCAGTTTCTACATCTTTCTTTCTTTTTTCCTTTCCTTTCCTTTCCTTTCCTTTCCTTTCCTTTCCTTTCCTTTCCTTTCCTTTCCTTTCCTTTCCTTTCCTTTCCTTTCCTTTCCTTTCCTTTCCTTTCTCTTTCTCTTTCTCTTTCTCTTTCTCGCTTTCTCTCTCTCTTTCTTTTTCTTCCTCTTTCTTCTTTCTTTTTCTCTTTCTCTCTCTTCTTCCTTTCTTTTTCTTCCTTTCTCTTTCTTTCTCTCTCTCTCTTTCTCTCTTTCTTCTTCCTTTTTCTTCCTTTCTCTTTCTTCTTTCTTTCTTTTCTTTCTTTCTCTCTCTTTCTCTTTCTTCTTCCTTTCTTTTTCTTCCTTTCTCTTTCTTCTTTCTTTCTTTCTTTCTTTCTTTCTTTCTTTTCTTTCTTCTATCTCTTCCCCCTCTATTTATTTTTTCGTATTTGTGCCTGTCTCCTGATGCCAAACATCTGATGAATTTTAAAAGTAATTTTTAATTTAGGCACAGTGGTTTACTGTACTGTTAATAGTAATGTTCCAGGCATAGTACCATAGTACACCACTTTTGGTCCCCAGGCCTCCTCCATCCCACCTAGCCAATTCAATCCAGTAGGCAGACTCTAAGGGTCCGTTATTGTAGGATAACATTGGTCTGTCCTTTCTCTTTTGCTACAGGGAGCTGAGGTTTATCGGGTTACACCCATCACAGTGCTCCCGAGTCACTCCCATTCCTTTGCTTATCTGTAACCTCTTTCTTTGTACCCTGCTTCCCCAACTGACCTTTTCCCCCTAATCAAATTCTGTTAACTTGTAAGGTCAGATCCTTCCTAGGACACTGGACTTGTATTCATAAGTGAAATATTGCTTTTCTCCTTCTCTATGTCCTTTTGCATAGTTTGCTCTAAAGCAATGTCCTTTTTGTATAGACACAGAAGGACAGTTAATGCTATGCTTTTGTAACTTGGGAGTTAATTGAGTCTGAATAATATTCACTCCTGGGCATCTGTTTTCTTGATTTAAGCCTCGGTTGCCCTTACTTCCTACCACCCCAAAAGCAGGGTCCCAACGAGGGACTGGATAGACCTAGGGCAAGTTATGAGCTATCCTGTCATTGAAATGGGCCAGGCCAAAGTGCCATAATACTTAACTTTAAGTTAAGAGTATGATCATGGACAAATTCTATCATGATCCAAAAAGTAATGACTAGACTAGGACTCTCCTCGGGTTAGAAAAGACTAATCTGGCCTGAGCACTGTAGTCTGAGATCTATAGTGAGATGCCCCCAGGAGAGTCACCCTATAAGATTAATGTATCTCTTATTGTGTCCAACAAAATGACTAATATTATGAATGTTTATATGTTGGACTAAGGAAAGGAGAAACACACCCATAGATGGTATTTCGCTATTGAGTGTGTCCTCCTGCTGAATGAGAGTTTGTCCTCGAAGAAGCTTCCCCTGAGGGAAGGATTTTACTTCTGTTGATTATATGACTACAGCTATGTGTAATTGTTACCTCAACCCCTCATGATTTGGGAGATAACTAAGGCTGTAAGAGTGGGCTGGGGAGAATCAAAGGGAATCAGGGAGAATTCAGGAGAATCCAGGAGTAGTATGAAGGAGCAAGATCCAAGAGGAGGATCAAGGGGTTTGGGGAAAGGGTGGGGGAAGAGGAATGGAGACAAGATTGGAATAAACTGCAACTGACATCAACCAGCCTGGCCCTCGCTTCCTCCTTCTTGGGCCCCTTGCCATTGGCCGCCCTCCAGGGTGAAGTGGCCAGAGACCATTGAACACAGGCGGTGAGAGAGACACTGAGGTTTTCATAATGTACTTTTTGAACACACACATTATCACTGGCCATGGTTTGTTCCCTTATTATGTTTCTTTATACTCTACATATGCAGAGACCATTCAGTCATGGTTCGTCCACCCATTGACTCAGCACCGATGAGATGCATCTCCAGTTCTATCCAAGTAGCAGGGAAATGCAAGATTCCATCTCTTTTCACAGAGAGGCAGTGTTCATTTGTGAATACTGAACACAGCGTCTTTATCCACTCATCTGTAATAACAGAATCTTAACTTATATAGCAAGTTACCTTTCGTAATATGTTTGCACAGTGTAACTCTATCATCAACTCCGGTAATCATCCTGGAGAATATTCCAGGAACAATGGAGAATTACTTAAGGAATCACATAGATACCCCATTTTTTGAATGGGTTTTTTACCCAACTTTTGTTCTTTCTATCTCATCAGTTTTGTTGCTCAACACCAATCCACAGACTGACAGTTGAAAACCACTGGCATAGAATGAAGTGCCAGACACTTAACCATCCCTTCATCCTTCCTTGCCCAATTTTTCCTTCACAATAACTTTGCCCAGACTCTTTGTGGGATTCTTTTTTTTGTGATCCAGGGGGCCCTCTACTTACCTCCCTGTTAGTGTTTATTACATTCTATCACAACTGTTTTCCTTATCAGACTATTATCAGTTTTTCTTGTGTTTAGCTATCAGTGTGAACCTCAGAAGCTTTCATCAACTCACACACTTGTTCAAAGTGCTTTTTTATTTAACTTTTTAATCACTATCTAATGACTAATGGTAAACAGTAACTTAATCTCATGCTACATTTTCTTTTGAGGGGTACACATGGAGGTGCTCAGGGTTTACTCATGGCGGTGCTCTGGGTATCATATGGGATGCTGAGGATCGAACCCAGGTGGGCCTCATGCAAGACAAATGCCCTACCCACTGTGCTATCACTCTGACTCCTTGTGTAATTTTTTAAAATTAATTAATTAATTAATTAATTTTTTAATAGTGAGGCACCATGAGGTACAGTTGCATACTTACACATTTTTGTGCTTGGGTTTCGATTATACAATGATCAAACACCCATCCCTCCACCAGTGCGCATTTCCCACCACCTCGGATCCCAGCATCCCCTCCCCCCCCCAGCCCCTATCCCACCCTGCCTCTGTGGCAGGGCATTTCCCTCTCTCTCCTTTTGAGTGCCATGGTCAGCAAAAGAGGCATTGAGTGGCAATCATGCTTGGTCGACAGTCTACCCTCAGCATGCTCTCCCATCATGGGTGGATCCTCCCAACACCCTTTATTTGGTGTTCCCTTCTCTTTCTGAGCTCCCCCTTCCCCTAACATGTGTGGTTGTCCTCCGGGTCATTGAGTAAAATTCCTGGTACTAATCTCTGCCATACTTGGGTGTTAGTTTCCTATTTTGTTACTTTATGTTCCCCAGATGAATGCAATCTTTCTATGTCTATCCCTTTCTTTCTGAGTCTGAGTCCTTGTGTAATTTTTAATTGAAGTAGCACTACAAAAATTTCAGGGCACATAATTAAAAATCAACTTGTAGGGCCGGAGAGATAGTATAGGGAGTAAGAACTTGCCCTGCACATATCCAATCCTGGTTCAGTCCCTGGCTTCACAGTCTGAGAAGCATAACCACAAGACAATCCTGAGCACAGGGCTAGGAGTATGTCCTGAGCATTGCCAGGTGTAGCTCACCCCCATCCTTCCCAAATCAATATATATGAAAGGGATGAAGTTGACATGTTTATTTAGTCATTGTATGGAAATGGAATATCAATTCAATTAGTTCATTCACATTTATTAAGCACCTACAGTATATGCTGTGGAACAATTCAAATGAAGTGGATTGCACTTCATTTGAATGAGTAGTTCCAGAATGCAATAAACAAATATAGGGAGGAATCAGAGAGCTAGCACATCAAGTAAGGCTTACCAGCTAACCCTGTGCTACAACCCGCTTCCAGCATTTTGGGTGGTCAGCTAGCCCTTGGCACTTAGTGTCCAAGCAGCACTGCATTCTTGGGTCCTCACCCTGAAACATAATTATGAGAGCTCTATCTTCTCTTCTTGACCTCACCTTCCATTTAGTATAGCGAATTTTAGTTTTAATAAAAGTTCCAGATACTGAAGATTCAAGTTTTACTATACTTGAGATCTTCCTTGAAGAAGCTTTTTATCCACCTCATACTGCACCCACATTTTTCTCAACAGTAACATGCAGACAATCACAGTGCCTGATTCTCAGGATCACTGTGGGACTTAATACCTGCTAAACACTAAGCCACTGGATGGCTGAGAGTAGGTGAGGGTCAACCCCTGTGACAACCATGTGCTGGGCACATGATGATAAGTGCTTGACAGGCATTAATCATCCTGAAAAAAACAGTCTGAGATGGATACTGCTAGGAAACTGTTTTCACAAATGTAGGAAATGGAGACACAGGACCCCAGTCTGTCTCCCC